TGCATCGCTTCTTCCGGCGGCGGCACTTCTCGCAGGCATGTGCGACTTGTTTTCGCTTGAGCGGCAGGCCGGTCGTGTCGGATTCCACGAATTTGACCATGACTTCACCGTGAGTGCGATTATATCGCAAAGGTTAGACTATCTATCTAATGATGGAGCGGTGATCACCTAATTCGTCATCTCCGCCGCCTCTCCGGGTCCAGGTGAGACGGATCGGGTGGGTATATAGTATATTCATGTCACATACGAAAGGATTAAGAGCACAATTTACTGCACAATCCCAGATACACATAAAGCTCATGAATGAGCCATTCAACCTTATCTAGTCTACTCCGTTCTATCGAGACCCATTTCCACCGCCAACTCCGACGCGGCGGGATTACCTAGAATGGTTAGTCCGCCCTCTCACCATTTGCTGCTTATGGACTGGAAATTGTGACGACTCACTAAAGTAATACCTTGAAGGCTGATGGTGGCAAGACTCCGACAATACTAGCCTGCGAATGGTACATACTTCTCCCCCGGCCTGGGGAGGACAAGCCACATTTTGCGTCAGCATGGCGGCCCGCTGATGTGTTCCGTCATTACCTAGGTAGTTTACAGGTAAGACCATGTCGGCGGTCATCACTCCGACGCAGATATGTCGCCCTCCATTGCTGAAGCTATTCCAACATATTTGCATGTGTATATATATCTGTATCATCCTTCCCGATAGATAAAATAGCAGTCACAGAGAACCTAATGAGAATCCAATTATTGAGAACCCCTATTCTGAGGCCCATACCCGCTACCATCTCGGTATCCAACCCAACGACCTTGAGACCCAGTCCAGCGCGACGCATGACCACAATGACTTCTAACCAGCCCCAGATGAAAAGAGAGGGTAATATCTCCGATTCTTTTGCCTCGCTGTCTGGTGGAAATGAGACGCCACTACCAGAACGCTTCCTTGATCTGAAAAGATCGTTGGTGGCTGGCCACGAAGAGCAAGTCGTCGCAAGCTGGCGGAGGCTGCTTACCCAGCTTAAAGAGGAAAACAACATCCTCAAAAAAGAAGGGTCAAAGGTTATACCAAGCCTTGACTTTGCAAACTTCGAGAATGACCTCGCAAGACTGCGCTCAGAGATCCAGAAGAGGGGTGTTGCCGTAGTCAGGGGCGTGATACCCGAGGATGAAGCCCGCGCGTACAAGAGCGATATCGAAGAATACGTCAGGCAGAATCCCTCGACAAAAGGCAAATCCCACCGCTCATACCCTTTCCGACCGTTCTCTAACTCTAAGAGCAGCGTTCCCTCAAGATAACCCCCAAGTATTCGAGCTCTACTGGTCGAGTCCCCAGATTCGCGCACGAGCACACCCGAATCTTTTGAAGGTTCAATCTCACCTCATGAATGTCTGGCAGTTGTCAAACCCCAAGGGCCCCATCTCGCTATCACAGACTCTGACCTACGCAGACCGTCTACGAATCCGACAACCAGGCGACACAAAATTCGCCCTAGGTCCCCACGTCGATGGAGGCAGCGTCGAACGATGGGAGAAGAACGGGTATGGGGTCGGTGGCGTCTACGACAAAATCTTCGAAGGGTCGTGGGAGGAATACGACCCATGGGACGCGAGCTCCAGAGCCATTGCAAACATGGACAACTACAATGGACTCGGCGCGTCTACGATGTTCCGCATGTTCCAGGGGTGGCTGAGCATGAGCCGCACGAAAGGCTTCGAGGGCACCCTGCTAGTGAACCCCTTAATTCAACCGTCATCCGCGTATTTACTTCTCCGCCCGTTCTTCAGACCCGTGAAAGAGGCGAAAGACGTCTCCGCCGAAGAGTACCTAGCGGCAGACAACTGGGTGTTCGCCGGCTCCGAGATGACGAGCGAATTGCATGGGGCAATACTCGGAAAGGGGCAAGAGCTGAATACAGATCTCCACCCACATCTTGAGCTCGACACCAGTATGGTGCACATGCCTGAAGTCAAGCCAGGTGACTTCGTCGTGTGGCATTGCGACAGTAAGTTTTCATCTTTCTAATTCATCTCCAATCTCACAAATCTAACACGCGACGCGATCCCATAGCTATCCATGCCGTCGATAAGGTTCACAGCGGGAAGTCGGATGCAAGTGTGCTCTACATCCCGGTCTGTCCCGTCACTGAAAAGAACGTGCAACACCTTGTGCGCCAGAAGCAAGCTTTCTTAGACGGCACCCCGGCTCCGGATTTCCCCGGCGGACAAGGCGAATCACAGCATGTGAACCGGCCTACGGAGTCCTATCTTCGGACGCATGCCGACTCGGAAGGCCTGCGGGCTTTCGGCTTTGAGAAGATTGCCACGGCGGAATCGGATGGTCCCGGCGCTAGGGAGGTCATACGAAAGGCAAACGAGATCCTAGGGTTCTAGCGGGTATGCACACTGTTTTTACTTCTGTTTATTGTCGGGAGGGGCGGAGAGGGGTTATGGGAAAGAGAGAACGAACCATCATCGAAGCGGTGTGGGAAAGTGGAGGAAATCGACCCAATGGAGATACCCTGTATGGCTACCATGGGGAGAAGACGGAGGAATACTTGTTATTCATCTTACTACCCAAACTCTTTAGCTACATTCTTTTTACTTGCAAATGACTCAATGAATTCTACATTACGCATTTGATCGTTAAAGGGTATGGCGCGACCTAGCTCTCGACGTAAAAGTGTGGGAAATGCTACTTAGATTATAAAGGCAATGTACGCAATGAGACGTGCCCTAGAGCCCTCCCCCACCCAATGAAACACCCCCCGTAATGAAATCGATTTCACACCAAAACTCACCTACTTTAAAAGTCTATAATAAATTAGCAAAAATACGTACAATAGTCTAATAACCTAATAAAAATAAAAAAATACGTAGATTTTATATATATATAAATTTATATTGATTGTCGGTTATATAAGGTAGGGTACTTAAGGAAACGTAGAAATAATATAAATTTACACCTTAAAATACAACAAAATATACATTCCATTATCTCCACAACTACAAGGCCTATAAAGTAACAACTTAATATATAGATTATTTATATATACAAGTATATAAAGTTTAATTTTTACCTCGATTACTTTAGTGGTTGTTGAAATATATAAATATAAAAATAATATATATATAAATAATCCTTGTAATTATTTCATTAATTGATTTCTTGACAACTATTAATACGTTTTAGCTTAATATTTATTTTTAAATACTTTTAGCTTTATATAATCTATATACTAAGTTGCTGTTCTATAGGCCTTATATTTATAGAAATAATAGAATATATATTTTGTTGTATTTTAAGGTGTAAATTTACGTTATTTCTATGTTTCTTTAAGTACCCTACCTTATATAACCAACAATCGGTATAATTCTAGTATGTATAGAAAGCTTACGTTTTTCTCTATTTAACAAACTTAATTATAGCTTTATAAGTATTTCTTTAAATTTACTATAGCTTTTTGAAGTAGGTGAGTTTTTGGTATGAAATCGATTTCATTACGGGGGGTGTTTCATTGGGTGGGGGAGGGCTCTAAAGGAAACGAAAACATTTGATTAAATCTGAACTTGTCAAACAGCTTTTTACACGGTAAAATTTTCGATATCATAACAGTTGTGATTAAGTCCCAGTGAACAAGTTTCTAGCCACCGAGGTTAAGTCCCAGGGAGCTTCAAGACAATGTTAAAGATAAACGAGGCATGTGACAAGGGCTTATGTAATAAGGGCTTGGAACAGTGTTCTATTCAACTAGTAATTCTCTTTGGATCTAAAAGGTCCTTGTCCTGCCAAATCCAACCTTCGATATAACCTCGCTCTTCGCCTCGTATTTATAGACAGCTTTAAGGCTAGTGCTTTAGGCTCCTGGCTATTACCCTTTCTTTGGCTGTCTTAGATCCAGTCCGTAATACAAGGCTCCTACAACTCTTACAAGTCCTGTAATAATCGCCGACTAATAGTCGCGGCTCCTCGAGGCTGTATATCACATGACCTACCCACTATAAGTAGCCCGCTGTATACAGTAGCTATAGTATAGAGCTCCATCTCTTTTATATCCCAAATACAACACTATGGCATTTCTCTAACATATTAATAGCTAGCGATTATTACGATCGTTGCTTTTTAAAGCTAAGCACGTATTTTAATTTTTTTAATTTAGCACGATTTAAAAAGATACAACTTATTCGTAAGGCGTGCGAGAAGATATAACTCGGCACAACTACTACTACCCCTACCGGCACCTTAACCGGCAGAATCACCTCCTGGACCATCTATATCTAGAGCATACGATAAGCTATTTCTACAGCGAGCCTTACCAACCGCCTAAGCTGCAGTAGCCTTCTCGCCGCCGGCTGCAAACGAGAGCTTGAAAACATTACACGGAATCTTACAATCACGGATTTCCCTTTAACAGATCACGACACACGTGCGTCCGTACGCAGAACCAGTCGTTCCCCCTAGCACTTACCCCAACATATAATATTATTATTCCTTAAGAAACAGAAAGACGGAAGCATGGGCTAATAGAAAAAAAAGGACAAAGGAAATATAGTTTATAACAAGGACGTTATTTCTTGTCTTTTGGGGGGGGCACCTGTCACATGACCTACCCACTATAAGTAGCCCGCTATACACAGTGGCCATAGTGTAGAGCTCCATCTCTTCTACATCCCAAATACAACACCATGGCATTTCCCTGACACTGTATGTCTTGCCGGAAGGCTGGCAAGCGTGGGCATCTGGCTTGGTCCGTGTGACAAAGGGGGCGCTGTGTATACAAGCAGGAGTTATAGAATAATGAATCACGTTCTTATAACCAAGGATAATATTTCTAGCAAAGCTTGTTCTCTCCATTAGGCAATTTGTATTGAAACATATTATGATCATCTATGCAGGCGCACCTCTGGTTAGCCCTTATCGCCTAAGTTAATAGCCAAATAGGCAAGGATGTAAAGAGAGTTCGTTGATTCGGAGAAATGGGCAAAATAAAACACATCTCTCGATCGGGGAATCGAACCCCGGCCACCTGCGAATTTCTATAAGACGGTAAGAAAAGCCCATACCAAGCAGGTAGGTAGGTAGGTAGATTAAACCATAGGATGACAAGCAGGTATCCTGACCACTAGACCAATCGAGACTCGTATGACTAAGCGTCGCCAATCGAGTTATGATGCCGATTGTGGAGAAGGGGACTTTCTTAAAGTCACGACACAACATCGTGACAAGGTAACAATCGCTAACGATGTAACAAACTTAATGTCCTGTTATATTTCTAGCTTGGTACTTACCTAATACCTACCCCAAGATGAAGTAAACACTGGAATCAATTCATAGGAAATGAATTATACATATGAGCACGGGTTAATCTAAAAACTGGATAGAGATACCTATTACGGCTCGATATGTAATTCCAGATGTTACAGATAATTCAAAATGAAAACAACATCTCACAAGATGAAACGGTAACATATCTTAATATCCCCATGCTATATGCCCGATTAATCGTCCTACCCAGCAGCTTAATACGACTAGGTAGGTTATAAATTACAACTGACGAGTCTTTATATGTCTACTTTGTGACTATTATACATGTTAGACTTACACGCAACATCTGTATGGCATTTCCCCTGCTCTCTTAGTTCATCAGCGAATCAATTTAGTGACTCATCATCAGGTGGTTGGTCGGTCGGTCGGTCGGTCGGTGAAAAGGCAACCAGAAACACGGGGGGCGGCCAAATGGCGAGACACGCATGTGAATCAGTCAATCGAGAGCGGAAAGATTAGCAATAGCAGCAGCGTACGTAAGTAACGTAGCGTCGCTAATACAATTTCGCAACGCGCGGGACGCGAGCGACATTGTCTTAGGAGATAACCAACCTAGTATTTTCGCATGCGACCAAGTCTCATGGTCAGTAGTTCAAATGACAGCAGAGCTACTGCGGTACCGAAGTGACGTCTCGTCTGGTCGTCGTGGGTGAGGTGTGATACGTGGCCAACTCGCGAGATTTGAAACGTAATGTCGAACTGGCCTCCTCAGCCGCAACCTAACATAAAATGGCCGGCGGCCAGGAGAGATCGGGCTACTGTAGGCGAAAGAGAGAGGAGAGGTAAAACACTCCCGTCTCGGGACGTCGCACAATGTCTCCCCGAAAATACGTGAGATGAGACGGTGACGCGCGATAAACCAAAAATGCGCCCATCCATCTCTCCTCTGCCGTCGATCTGAAAAAAGGACGTTGTTGACATATGAAATCCCGGTTCTGGCTGGGTGTCCGTCGGCCGGCATCCCTACCTATACTACCTGACCTACCTGGCTTTGTTGTGATACTTTACTTACCTGGTACTTAAAGAAACCAAAATCAGGCTTATCCTTATTGCGCGCGGGTGGCCAATCAATCAGTTGGACAGGCTATGGCCACACGGCACGGATTATTATGTATGGGATTTAGGAACCAGATACTTACAGTAGACGCATGAGGCAAGTTTACGCCTGGGAGGATTTTCTGAATGAGGCGGACAGTTTCGTTTTGTCTTCTCATTCATTTTTTACCCCTTTGGAGCACACGTCTGCCTGCCTACCTGACCGACAGCATGCCATACAACCCTGACCCCCACCATCCATCAACAAGATACCATCGCATGCCAGATCACCTCACATCAGATCAGGCACCAGCTGCCTAATGCTCGTCGGATATAAGCAGTGATGGTGGCTTTCTGCATTCTAACTGGATACTATCATTGAATTTTATCGCGGTAGTGCATTGGGGATGCGCACGGAGTGATTAGTATTGACCCAGGATAGACAGATCTGATTTTCAGATGAATGGGACGGACGGGTCGCGTATGATTCGCCGCCATGAGTCTACTCCAAGAGGGGATTTCCTCAGTCGGCCTTCATGTGCTTTATGAGCCAGAAAAGAACGGCAACACACTTATCGAGTAGGTCAATTTCCTTCTGATGCCGGTAGCTTATCACAGATGCACGAACTTATGATGCTCTCTTAGCGTTATCTTCGTTCATGGTTTAGGAGGACATCCGATACGTAGCTGGCAGTACGATGATAACGTAGCAACTACTGCTCGAACGAAGCCTGATCCGATCGCGCGTGACGGATCTTTGAGTCTTATACTCAAGAGAACCAGATCTTCAGATAAGAAATTTCGATCGACTACCTTTCCGCGGGAGAATGCGAGGCAGCCTGAGTCAAATGCGTCCTCTCTACCCTTCTGGCCGCAGGACTTACTGCCTATGGCTTGTCCGGAGGCGCGTGTCATCACTTGGGGGTACCATACTCTCCGCAGTGGCGATGCGCCCGTTGTTTCCCAGCCCGATCTCTTCTCTCACGCAAAGGACCTTCTTCGGGAGCTTGGAGACCTTCGGGATGGTACCGATGTGCAACGAAGGCCCTTGGTTTTCATCGCGCATTCCCTCGGTGGAATTATTGTCAAGGAGGTGGGTTTGTGGACATGGGATTATTACGCGGAAATGCTTATGGTTACCATAGGTGCTGCGCCGGGCTGAATTCAGCAATACGAAGAACGAACAGGAAATCCTGAGCTCAACGGCTGCAACTATATTCTTTGGTTGTCCGCACCGGGTTGTGGAGCAGGAGCCGTTGGTAGACACGGTGGTGTCAATGGCAGAAGCATCCTTCAGCGGCAAAACGGACAGCTCGGTATTCTCTGCGCTATGTGGCGTGAAAAATCCCAGATGGGGCGAAGCGCAGGATTCATTTATTCGGTTGTGGTACCATTTCAACTTTGTGGTTAAGACATATCAGGAACGACAGAGTGATACAGATACGTCAATCGTGGGTCTCGCCTTGTTTCACGTACACAGTTGGAAATGAGCTTACATATAGCTAGAACAGTCGTACCGAGTCGAGTAAGCTTGGGGATGCGAGAGAAGACGCAGAGAGCTTACCTGCGCACCATCGCACGATGTGCCACTTTAAATCGGCGAGTGACGCTGGTTTCAAATCACTGTCTAAAACCCTCCAAGATATCGTGAGGGATGAAAAACTCAAGGTAGCGCTTCGCTTCGTTATCGAATCTCCGTTAGCGCCTCTAGCTAATGAGGAACAATAGCGTCGAGGGCTCAGCGTTGGAGATATAAGTGCGTAATGGCGTTCCTATTCTTCACACATAAGCTTACTTGTGTTAGGCTGCTTGCAGCGACTCACAAGTCGCATAGTCAGGAGCAGGGGCTCTCGGTTGGCTACCGGAGAGGGCTCTCTAGGTACATGCAGACGAATATGTAGCACGAAAGAGTTCCGCAATTGGTATCGTCGCCAGGATGGTAGCAATGAGCACATATTGTGGCTGACGGGTGCTCCAGGTTCCGGCAAGTCGACCCAGTTACGGCATGTTCGGTGCCAGATGGAAAAACAATGGAAACCCGCTACAACCTCAATTATACACTGCACCGCAGAAGGTCAAAGTCTTGACCAATCTTTCGTGTCAGAGTTAAAGCTGGGTAGTATGCGATCGATCACGGCAATCCGTTCCATGGTCTCCCGGCTCTTCGTGCAGGACCCGAATCTTCGCGAAAGACTTTCTAGCGTGTGCGAGGGTGAAATAAACGATACAGATTTGACTCGATTCTTTCTCGATGATTATATCACAGGAAACCCCCGGACGTTAGCTAGAAGGACGTTCATATTGATTGATGCAGAAGATAGTTGCGACGACGAGTATATCCGAGAACTTCTGTATTGCCTATGTCAAATGGCACGGAGCTCGAGTTTTAGTGTGTGTCTAGCCAGTCGACAAGTTAGCCAACCAGTTCCAGCCAATATAACTCAGTTACAAGTCGAAGATCATAACCGCGAAGATATTACATGGTTAGTACAGTCACGACTAAGGATGGACGGCGAGGGACGATCTGTTGCCGTAAGAAATATCCTCGAGAAGGCCGGGAGTAGTTTCTTATGGGCACAACTTGCGACGAACTTACTAAACGAAGTCATCGACGACGGCGGAACGCCGGACCTGGTGGACCAGATACTGGCGGCGCTTCCCACAGATCTATACGGGCTATATGAATGGATCTTGGGAGCCCTTTCGCCTAAAGAAAAAGCGGATGCTACGACAATTATGCGATGGGTTATGTTGTCACCGGAGCCTATGATGCTCAACGACCTGCGAATGGCGGTTCGCATGGGCCGCACGAACTTTCTGCTCTGCTGTGATCCGCAATCCGCGTTGGATGTTGGATTGCCTTGGTCGATGCAAGAGCTGCAGAAGACGGGCAAGCAATTCGATACACCCTCCCAATTTTACCAATGGCTTTGCTCCCGGACATGCGGCCTCCTGGAGGCGAGGCCGACGGCTGTGGAGGGTACAGCGCAGCAGTCACTCGGACTGCAGCATGTGTATCCCATCAATGACTCGGTTAGATCGTTCTTCTTGTCTGGGAGGGGCTTCGCCGCCATCTCTTCGGGACGAGCGACTACCACACCGCCCGACCATGAGGCAGTTGACGTCTGCCACTATAGTCTTCTCCGTACGATCTTGGTATACCTGAACACGTCGGATCTGTCGCCCCTGGTGAGCGGGAATCCTTCTCCGGAACCGAAACAGAGCGTTTTATCACTGGCGACGTCACCGACGTGGAAAAGAAGCGTAGTGGACCAGCGCAATCTCGTCACCTCGTCGTATCCATTCTTGGGGTATGCGGTAGACAACCTGTTATATCACCTGCTATCCCCACGGGCGCTCCGGTATTTTCTCCCTCAGCAGGCCCTATTCAACACGTTTGCGTCAAACGACTGCAGGATATGGCGGCGTTGGACAGCTCTGCTCGGCGAGACAGATGCGTCGGCGATTCTGGCAAGGTGTAGATCCGCCGAAGCACTGTTGCAGCCCGAGTTCGGGGCATTGTTCCGACTGGAGAGGGTGTTTCGCGCGGTGAACAAGATGGCGACTGGCGACAGCTGGTTCTCGCCTCGTAAAGACATGGCACTTTCATTGCCTCATGCACCGCAGAAATTGGAGGAAGGCAAGGCCGGCCAGCAGAAATACAATGCAGCCCCAAGTCTTCCCCCGCTGCCTTTACCATCACGCGCAACTGGGCGAGGGCCCCGATCTAGGGGCACCGTAGTTGTGGCAAGGAGAAGGTAGACTTTGAACAGTACC